CTTTCTGGCTAGTCTGCAAAGGCGCCATTAATTTATCCCATTCTTCCCATCTTCTGTCTTCCCAAACATCATCTAAAATAAGCAAAAATTTCTTAGGGTTGAGCTGCTCTTTGAGAAGTTGTTGCAGTGCCTCCAAACTATCAGCATTTGGCCTGTTTTTTGTAACTGCCTCTAGGATCTTCTTTGTTATCCTTGTTGCACTGAATGTATTGTCAGACACATGTGCCCACACAATTATATCAAAGTGAGGTGAACCTTCTAAATCTCTGCACACAAGTTTAGCAAGGGTGGTCTTCCCTATACCTCCGATGCCAATTATTGCAAAGACAGGAACCGTGCTGGCTCTACAAGTGCTTGAACCTTCATCTAAATTATTAGTCAACCACATTATGACCTCATTCTTCTCCCTGTTACGGCCAAAGATTTCAGTGCCCACCAGAGAGCTAGTCTGTCGATCACTGCTTTCAGCACCATCTGGCAAGGCACGACTGTCAAACCGGCTGATAAGCTGAAGGAATGTGCAGACACCTTCTGCAACTCCATCTAAATCTTGGATAGCCTTTCTCAGCTTCTTCACCATGTTTCCTTCAGAGGTATGCCTCACAAATCTTCTAAATACCCTATCTCTGAAGAACCTCGTGACCGGATTGCGTACCTGAATGTGATGTTGGAGGTTTTGTGGATGTGCATCTTCCTCAAGCTTGTAGTAGCCTACCTCATCAAGTGCATCCTCAGCACCTTCAACCGCATCTCGGAACCGCCAAAGCCACTGGTCCAACGCACGGCCCTTCTTTGCGTCGATCTGCTCGAGGTTGACGGACCGCCTGGATCTCTGTGAGCCGCTGCTCCAACCGATCCTTGACGGCCTCCATGCCCTCGGCCTGGTGGCAGTCCCTGAGGTAGCTGAAGGCCTTGTTGACTATGAATGAGATGGCTGGCGTTGCCACCGACTTGCCGGCGAAAACCAGTGCGGCGGTGCCAGCCATTTCTTGGAATATGAGGGTCTGTTCTGGCGTGCTCTCTGTTTGCAAGAGCAACTGAAAATGGTTAAGAGCATGGCCTGCGCAGGTCGTCGGTGTCCAAGTTTTGTAAGCTCGCTGAGAAAGCTTGCCCGGATCCAAATTATGTTTAGGACCCTCTGTAAAGCATAAATCGGTTAGGGACACAAGGAAATGGACAAATTTTGACATATCTAGGGTATGTTTGGCAGAGCTTAAAACGACATGATCCGTATTCAATTTTTCTAGCCAAACACTTATCAACTCCAAAACCATTGATATGTCCTAGATCTACCAAACAGGTGGAGTTGGAGAAAATTACCCGTCACTATCACTAGTTATACAAAAATAATGCTTTGTTCTCTCTTTCCTATCATTTCCCGTCATTGCACGCCTGCCCCGCCCCGCCTGCCCTTGGCCAGGGCTACACCCACCGAGGCCGCGTGCGCCCTTGGCCGGACGGACACTCGCCGATGGTCGCGGCTACCGGTGGCTGCGAGCTCCAACTGCGTGCAAGCTCGTTGGGAGTTAGAAACCCATGGTTTTTTTTTGCATTTTTCATTATACCCATTGACACGTGGGCTCGGGTTGGAAGTAAGATGGAGAGAAGCGTGGAGCTGTACCAAACATTTGGGTGAATCCCATGACCCATATCAACGGTGGAGCTGTTCCATGTGGATCTTGATGGATCTAGAACTGGTGAAGCTCTGCCCAACAGACCCTTGCTCACTTAGAACTCAGAATTAGAGAGATACCATGGGGCGCAACACGAAACCATGTTCCCTACGAAGATTGACTTGGCCCTGTTTATGCAAAACATGTAAACAACTAGTTCCATATGAGAGCAACGTCATGTTTATATATGATGCGAACTACGCGTATGACTTGGAATCCGCTGGCACGGTTGTTGATGGCAGTTGGCGCCAGCTAGCACGACCTGTTAAAGTCAACTGTTTGTGATTGATGGCTTTGAGTGTGAGGTCCACCGCCTCGGCACCATTTTTTTTTTTTTTTTTTGAAAAAGTAAAACCTCCATTGCATCACAAACATGTAACGTGCAAGCGACGACAAGCTGTTGCATTTTCCCGGCCAATACTCCGTGCGCATGAGAGCCATGGTGGCCGGTCAAGGGGCGCAGCTCTGGGTGTAGAGTCTAGTCTGCCGACTGTTGAGAACAATGACTTTTCGCTAAATTTATCAGGCTTTTAAGGCTTCCCCAAGGCAGTGGCTTTAGAAGTAGCACCAAAATCTACGATATATAAAAAGTAGGTGCCCTAGAGTTGTCATAGTTATCTGTAGAAGCTACATATGCTTAGAGAGAGAATGTGGTCAATACATGAAAAGAAGAGAGAAAAAAAAAGTTACACATAATGAAAGAAAAAAAAAGAATTTTAAGACCACAAGTAGTGATAGTTTGCATTGTGTGAATTATAGTCTTAATGTCTGTATGGACTACTTTATTGGTACTGGAACCACAGGAACGTTAGCCTCTCGTGCCCTAAGCCAAGTAGTCAACTGACCTCGATGAAAAAAAAAGGCCCTGGCTCGGCCCGGTAGGACGTTTGTAAGTTCCTCTACTGTTTGCAGCAGTTGGCGACTGGATTGTAGAAGAAATGGAAATGGGATAGGAAGCACAGATATACTGTACAGTAGAACAGCAGCAGAGTAGCAAACAAAATTGCTTTACGGTTAGGAAGGATCGGGGAACTCTTTCTTCTCTTCGAACTAGTCAGTACATGGGCGGGCTGCTTGATCAGTTGTTCACTTGTTCTTGGCACTATGGCCCCGTTCGCCCTTAAATCCGACTTGATCTGTTTCTTTTTTCATCCGGAACAGTATTTTCCTCTCACAAATTCCTCCAAAATTCTTTTAAACCATCCAAATTCCTCCACAACCATACCAGCCGAACACCCCCTATGAATCCCTTTGTCTTCTCAGGCCTTGTTTAGATCCCACCTAAAAACTTTACACCCTATTATATCGGATGTTTGGATACATGCATGGAGTATTAAATATAGACTAAAAAATAACTAATTACATAGATTACGTGTAAATTGCGAGATGAATCTTTTAAGCCTAATTAATCCATGATTAAACACTAATTGCTATAGTACACGCATGTGCTAATGATGGATTAATTAAGCTTAATAAATTCGTCTCGCGGTTTACGGACGGATTCTGTAATCTATTTTTTTATTAGTGTCCTAACACCCCATGCAACCTCTCTACGTGACAACCCAAACTTCTCCAACTCATCCACCCCCTGCTGAAGTTCCACTGAGGCACTGACAACTGGAGGAATGACTAACAGTGAGTCAGTGTACAAGGCAGATGAGAGTCCATGACAGAATGCACATGACGGTGTCCCGTGTACCAGACTCGTTCCATCGACTGAACAAACAATTGCCACTAAGCAGACAAAAAAAAAGAGGGGGAAAAAGTAAGGTAGAGAACCCACGGCTCGCCTCATTCCTCTTGGATGCAGTCTAGGCTATTGGTTTTGATCTGCCTCGAGGACCGTCCATAGTCTTCCAGCCGATCCAGAAACAGCCATGCTAACTGGAGTACTGAACAATGCAATGCGGACCGAGAAAACAATTGATTCAGCAGAACTAACAAGAATCATTTGCATTTTAGTGCTTGACAACAGATTTGACATTACATGGAATGCTCGTTTTGTACAACAGCAACACCGGCACACTGTGCCACTGCCATCTCCATCTCCCAAAGCAAGCATTTTGTACATCAAGGAGGGGCAACACAACAGTTCAGTTGACCCAAGCGATGACAAAGCAGACAGTTGACCAACAATTGATCTGCAGATGCTGCAGTGCAGCCTTTAAGCCGAGATGGTTTCAGTCCTTGACATCTGCAACGCCTTCAGAAGCTAACTGAAACCTTTGCTTGGGCTTCAGGCAGACAGGGAGAGCTTATTACTTTACAGGTCCCCCCTCTCGTCCCTTGCGAAGAGCAATGGGCATGGATAGGAATACCGACATTAGGGGCTTGGATATAGATGACTAGTTAGTATGATCAACTGGTAGAGCAATGCACCTTTTTGTCGAAGCATGAACCATGATGTTTCCCCCAATGGGCTTTTTTCTAACGAAAATGACAAGAGCTCCTCAGTTAAGAGAGAAAAGAGAGTTCGAAGCACACAATACAGGTTAATCCCAAAGCCCAAAATGGATCTAGAAACAAATCTCCCCAGAAATTATCTGGGGACGAAAAAAAACTGAGCCTGAAGAACACGTAGAAGAGGAAAGGGAGCTACGACAGCAAAAATCAAATGCTTGAAGGAATTGCCACCAACAAAGTGCTACTACTTGATTGGTGATAACCACATTTACTCCAAACTGCCGTGACTAATAAAATCAAATTAAGCAAAACCGAACAAATTGTAAACAGAATTTTCATTTGAACGAAAGCTAAGACATAGCGATAAAGGTAAAGGCTACAATTTTCTCAATGAAAAAAAAAAGAATGCTATCTTACAACTGACCTCATCAGCAAACTTCTGAAAGCTCCTCAATAACTTTAGTCATGTGCCCACTTCAACTGCCAGGCAACCTGCACCAATAGTCAAGAACTCAAGATCGTGTCAACTGGAGTCACATATTGTCACATTCACTACTACTTTATCAGGATCGGTCATTGTTCTGTGAATCCGATTATCTACACACTGCACTTCCAGCAATTGCTGTGATAATTGAACAAATAAACGCAAAAATGGGAACTGGACTGATATTTGATACATCATAACTATAATTCTATATCAATATTTGTTGTTGTCAGGTCTCATGCAACACACAACAGGGCAACAGGCATCGCTTTACAACAGGATGCTCGGATCAGTTACAGGTGCAACCGCATCTGTGAAGGCAAGTGTTCTGTACATCAAAGTGGGGAAACTCAGCAGCTGACCCAAGGAATGACAAAGCAGATAGCAGACAAGCACTGGAGACAAAGCTACTGTGCACTGTATGCAGAGATAAGACAGCCTCAATCCTTGACATCTGCGACGCCTTCAGAAGCTATCTGAAACCTCGCTTCAGCTTCAGCCAAGCAGGGAGAGCTTATTACTTTACAAATCCGCTCCTCCCCTCTTCCCTTGTGAAGAGCAAGCCTGATGGAGAGTTGGAGACACTATCGACATTTTAAGATACGATATGGATAGGAACAGAACAGAACCTGGGTCTTGGAGAAAACCAGTTAGTTCTTGATAGCTGGCATAATGTACCTTGTTGTGGAAGCATGAGCCATGATGTTACCACCAATGGGCTTGATCTGTGGTCCGGCAAACATAGCAGAGCCATCCACTTGTGCTACTACTTGATTGGTGATAACCACAGCAACTCCAAACTGCCATGATCAATCAAATCAAATTAAGAAAAGCAAAAAATCATGAAGGGATATCCAGCGTCAACAGCATTTTCATTTGACTGAAAGCTAAGACAAAAACCATAAAGAGAAAAGACTTGGTGTTCTTGAAGACAAAAAATAATAACAATTTATACCAACCTCATCTGCTAACTTCTGAAGGCTTCTCAGAAACTTAACCATATGCATTTGCCTAGCCGATAGCTCCCCTCTTCCTGAGAAATCAGTTCTGTACAGAGCTGTGGCACTGTCAACAACCATTAGAGCAAACCTGCAGATGTAGATATTCAGATTAGAAATTCTGACCAAGCTACCTCCATAATCACTAGTCTTCATAACAGATATATACTGATAATCAAAGAACACAGACATTGGCAGAGTAAGCAGTTGCAGTGACAAATTTAGCTGGATTCTGCATTTCCTAATGTGATTTGATTGTGAAGCAGCACATCATGTATTCAGGTTAGACTAAGCGTAGCAAACACTGCATTGGTATATCCCTACAGACAAACCAGGGCATACAATTAATTAGCTGTAATGTAATGCAAGGTTTGATATGGTACATACCTCAGCTAATTAACCATTTTATGTTTTAGCTAGTTAGCTTATATGAATCGCAACATGGGATATTCTTGTACAATGCACGTAGAGTGAAAACAGACAATACTAATGTTGTAAATAGTAGTGAAGTCCAGTTCAGTATGAGAGTTGCATTTGTATTTTATTGTCACATGTTACCGTTATGTGGGTCCAAAGGATCAGTACTTTAACTAAGGCATGATCCCTTTGATTCATAAGCAAAAGATAACCAAATCAATTTCAATTTATTTACCTAGAGCACAACTGATAGAAAGTAAAGCACGCTTATGTGCTCAAAGTAACATATAGTTCACATGTAGACTCAAAACAATAAGTTGGACTTGCCTTGTCTCTATCATCATGGAAGCTGCCTCCAGCAGAAGTCTGGATTGATGATCTGTATTATAAGCTCTGGCATAAGCCACATTCTCTAGCACATCAGCACCGTTAAGCCCAAACCTAGATTCCAGTATGAGCATGTTTAGTGATCAAATTTATGTTATAATAATTAAAAAAAATGCAACTAAGGTATCACCTGTCAGCTATCTGCAGGAGCCTTTGTGGTCTGAACGTACCCTCTGCATCAATGTACAGAGCCTTTCCTTCACCACCACCTTGGTCCAGTGGAAGCTGCAATGTAAATTGTTTACATATTTTACACCAACAAAATAAAATGGAAAAAGCCAAGAAGGGGTTGATAGACAAAAATCTCACCTGACATGTAACACAAAGGGTGTGACACAATTAAGTCTTTCCAGAGCGGAACTCACCATATATCTCTGTGATAGATCCTGTTTCTATCCCACCTGTTGCAGGTATGTCATAACACTATAACAGAATGCTAAATCACTGCGAGTAACTAGATTAAGTTTTAAGTTCTGTAGGAAAAGTAAGATCATGGAATCTACAAGCTCATTACCCTCCAAGATCTTATCAAGTTCTCTTGATCCAGTTGTAACTTGAATAATCTCCAGCCGCTGCGCATGTAGTTGGCTGGCACTTGTAAATCCCAGTGGAACTATCTTGGATGCTGCAAAAGGTTTGTAGACAGTTACGAGTTCAACAGTACGCAACACAACTTCCCTACAACATAGCCTCAATACAGTTTCAATACATATAGTTCCATATTACTTGCCTGCTTCAATTATCTTGCCAACTTTAGCTTCACTTATTTCTTTGATCTGCACAAGATCTTTCCTTGGAGTGTAAGCCACAGCCTCCACAGTGTGCAGACCAGAATCTTTCAGCTTTTTCACATCCAATGCAGCTATTCCAGAAGCCTAGACCACAAATGACACAAATTTAATGTTAACAGAGCAATGTGCCCTTTTTATGTTTCAAGAAACTAGTTACAGTTAGTCTGCTACCTAAATGGCACTGAAACAAGGGAATAGATACAAACTACAAAATGCAATCATAAGAGCCTTTGCTAATGTATATTGACTACAATTGAAGAACACCATGTCCTTAGGCAATGAACTACAATTGTGCCATTTATTAACTAACAGGCCAATATAGTTCAGGCAACAAATTCCTCATTTTCTGAAGGCGTTTGCACAGGGAAACTATTTCAGGCCAATATGGTTCAGGCAGCAATGAACTGAAATTATGTCAGACTCATCTGAAATGATGTATGCACAGGAAAATCAATTAACAGAAGAGCAATTCTCACAAGAAACAGGATGGTGACTTCATGCTTCATTTCTCAAGCATATTTCAGAAGCAACTACCCATGTCCCATGAATCCACTCGAGAGCCTAGTCATGATTCCAGTTGAAAGCACATCATCTCAGTACAGCAATGAATGTACTAAACGTTGACACTGTTTATTACTGACAATTGTGCAATCCGTGGTAGAAAGGACCAAACAAAGCCCAATAATCGCTCAAACTTGACCGCTATTCATGTGAAGTGGTGAATTATCAAGAACCTAGGTTTTGGCAACCAAGAATCTGCCGAGACCATGTCAATTCAATCACGCATGACCTGGAAATTCCATACTCTCTCACAATCGTCGCGTCATTCACGGGAAAAGGCAAGTTAATCAACAAAGAACCTAGTTTCTCGCAGTCAATAAACCGCGGCAACAGCTGGGGAAAAAGGAAAACCAACGCCAATTCATACTCGCACGGATCGGAACATCCAAGAAAGGCTTGCCCTGGCTCCACCAAGTGCGGAACAAACGATTCAAGAACCTCCCATCTCTTCGGCCAAGAACCCAGCCCCACACCCAAAGAACCCGAACCCGCGACGAAGCCCACCTCCACTCCCTAATCGCGCAGAACGCGGAGCCGGAGCCTCAAGAAAGCCTCGGCCTCGGAAACGCCGCCCGTTCCGGGGCATCGCGAGGGGAACAAGAACCGGACCCAAGAAGCCGTGTAGGGTTTGGGCGCGGGCCGAGGGGAGCCGGGTCCGTACCTGGAGCTGCTCGATGGGGAATGGCCCGTGTTCCACCTTCTCCTGCTGCTCCGCTCCCGCCGCCGAGGCCGAGGCCGCCGCGCTTCTGCTGCTGCTGCTGCTGCGCCGCCGACATGGTCTTCTCCTTCTCTCACCTCTGCTGCTCTGCCTGTTCACTCTGTTTGTTTGTTCGAAGAGAATTGGACCTCACATGGCGGGAGGCTGGGAGGGTTTACTGGACCTTACATGGGCCACCGTCCAATGGGCCAACCAGTGGCCGTCGGCCCGCGTTTGGTTGAGCACACTAAGATGACTATGGGCTTGACTTCAATCCAATCTTCGTTTCATTTCTTTCCGAAAAATGTCTACCTTACCTCCTTAACTTTCGCAAAAGTCTGTTTTTCCTCCTTGAACTCTAAAACCGAGCAAAACACCTCCCTCAACTTTTAAAACCATTCATTTTACCTCCCCTGGCCCTGTTATAAGCAGTTTTGAAGGTGATTTTGTCTTTTTCTTTTTTATTTATTTTGGCTGAATTTTTAAAAAATCATAGTAAATCATCGAAAAATCATAAAATGAAAAATCTAATTTTGTTAGACTCCACATGAGTAGATCTACACAGTGAATATATAATATGGTAAGTTTTAGGACAAAGTTTTTGCTGTGGTTTTAGATCTATGATTTTTTGTAATTAATTGGAATAATTCATAGCTGCAGTTTCTATGGTCCAATTATGATAAAATTTTTATAGTGGGCTAATTATTGTATGATTGAACTATAGTAAAAATTTCATACTCATTGGATCATGTATAGCTTAGTTATAGATTTATTTATTTTTAACAAACATAAACCTAAATAAAATCTATAACTAAGTTATACATGATCTAATGAGTATGCAATTTTTACTATAGTTTAAGAATACAATAATTAGCCCATCATAAAAAATTCACCACAATTGAACCATAGAAACCACAGCTATGAATTATTCCATTTAATTATAGAAAAAACATAGATCTAAAGCTACAACAAAAACTTTGTACTAAAGCATACCATATTATATGTTCACTGTGTAGATCTACTCATATGGAGTTCAACAAAATTGGAATTTTCTATTTTATGATTTTCTGTGATTTACTATGTTTTTTCAAAGATTTGGCCGAAATAAATAAATAAGACAAAACCGCCTTCAAAGCTGCTTATAACAGGGCCAAGGAGATAAGATGAACGTTTTTAAAAGTTGAGGGAGGTGTTTTGCCCGGTTTTGGAGTTCAGGGAGGAAAACGGACTTTCGCGAAAGTTGAGGAGGTAATGTGGACTTTTTCCTTTTTTAGCAGAAACGAAGCCCAACCTAGAGGCTGGGATGTGTCCGATCCTGCGCGGCGGCCCATATACATGGCGGACCACGCCCTGCCCGCACCGCCGCCCTCGCCTGTGTTCTTCGCTTCAACTTCCTCAGCAAGCAGAAGAGGAGAGAAGAGAGAGAGGTGGCGAGGTCCTGCTCGATCTAGCATCCGCCGTCACTGGAGTCGCCGACCGAGAGGATGTTTCTCATGAGGTGACTGGCCGGTTTCAGATCCCTCTGTCCATCATTAAACCCTCTGGATTCAATCCTCCGCCGTTGGCGGCCCGTTGTGGCACTGTCAACAATCATTGGAGCAAACCTGCAAATGTAGATATTCAAATTAGAAATTCTAACCAAGCTACCTATGTAATCACTAGTCTTCATAACAAATATATACTGAAGGGAATGCGGGTGGCTGCATGATAGCACAAAAAGATTTACTACATAAAATAGGATCACTTGCACATAGATGATCATAGATTATATTTCCAACGCGCGACGCAACGGAAGATTTAGCGGAACGGGCGTAGTTGATGTCAAGGAAGTAGGTATACCGTACGACCTGACGTAGTGCGCATGGAGAGGTGAACAGCGCGACATGGCGTGCTAGTGCTTGACAACGCGTTCAGATGTACTGCCGCAGACCAAACGACACCGCAACAGTCTTCACAGAATCACAGCGGCCTCCTGTTCTCATGCACAAGGGCGTGACCAAGGCTGCTAGTCGTGTGGTGGCTAGGGCTAATCAGGGTTATTACCCCCTTGGCCAGTGATTAGCATATATAGTTATTGCTAATGGGCCACATGGGTTGGACAGGCCCACACTGAGTTGGGCATATTTCTAGCACCTTACTCCTCACTTTGTCAATCATGTTGGCTATTTTCGTAATCTCACATAAACTCTGTTCTTTTGATTGCTCTGTATAGAGTTGACAGGAGGAGGAACCAGGGTGCTCAAAACTGAGCGGAGAGGCACGACAGCGACATCGCATCGTGGACGAACCGGCACAACGGTATTGTCTAGATGGTGCGTACCATCGAGCCCACAGGATGAGGGAGCACATAGCCCGGTTGAAGGCAAACACCGGCCTCAAGCTGTCATGGGCTTTGTTCAAAATTTTATTTCAGAGCTAAGATTGTGAAAGAGAGGGGTGGTAACAATAAAGCAGTCCGCACTAAGATTGGCTCCTCCTTCACAAGGTTTTATGACGATGAACGTTGACGCGGCAGTGGCTAAGGGAAGTAACAGAGGAGCACTTTTTGTCATTTGTAGATATCAACAATTAGTTTATCATGGCTCCTCTGCTATTGTCATCGGTGGGTTTTTAGAGGACCCAGCCACTTTGGAAGCTATGGCATGCTGGAAAGCTTTGTCTTTGGCGTCAGATTTGAACCTATACTGTACCCTTTATCATCAATCAATGAAGTCGGTGTTTCACCTAAAAAAATCTTGTATAAAGTTGCAAAGCAAAGGAAAATACAAATACTGGAGCTTTCATCGGTGATTGAAAAAGAAAATGACGTCTATGTGATTCCACGAATACGACCAACGACTTAGAAATTTCAAATTAAGACCATCAACTTCATATCTGCCGTCTCCCGGGGGCGGGAACAGTTGCTTCGAGCTGGCATGAACTTCTCCGTCCGTGCCACAACGGAGCCATCAACTTTTATATCTCTTGACTTCGGGGATTTAGGGGGAGACTTGCCTAAGACCGTCGCAACAACAATACTGTCGGTGTTTCGGACCCGGAGGTACTCAACCAATCAGTAAATATGAACTGCGTGCCCCTAATCCCGGATAGTGATGCAAAGAGACACAAGGTTTATACTGGTTCAGGCAATCGGTGCCCTACGTCCAGTCTAGGAGATCGATCTTGTATTCTTTGCACCGAAGTGCTTGTAGTAGGGGGTTACAAGCTGGGTGAGAGAGGGAGCTAGTCCCAGGTCTCGGCGTGGAGTGGTGCGGGCTGCTTGAGTCGTTGCTCTCAGGCAGCGTGGGAGCGTGCGTGAATTGAGTGAGTGCGTTTTGCGCGTGAGGGCCGGCGTGGTCTCGATCCATAGAAACGGCCCTAGCTGCTTCCTTTTATAGCCACAAGGAGGGAGCCAGGAGTACATGAGAGAGCTACACGTGGAGCCTTAGCGAGGAAGGAAGATCCAAGATCGTGGCCTATTCTCAGAAAAGACACAGTGTGTCGGGAATGGCAATTGGTACTTGATCACGGAAAAAATCATGCCGCCATGCCTGAGGCTGTTGAAGTCATAGGGGTCCTCGTTGACGTTTAGTCAACATGGCCTCCTCTGTAGGTGACATGCCGTGCCTTGTGAATTTTTGACTTGGTGGTTCGCCGAGGCCTGGCAGGTGTTTGTGGCCGACCGCGCCGAGGCCTGATTTGCCGAGGCCTGGGAGGTGACCTGAGTACGATGCGGCGGTCTCGGTGGTTAGCGTCGTACCCGGTTTAGGTGGAAAAGTACAGGGCGTGTGTCCGCAAAGCACGGTAGTCCCTGCACCGTCAGTGGGGAATGGTAAAAAACGAGATTTGATCGCCGTCCCATCGCCCCTGTTGCTATGCCCTGCCAATCGTGGCTGACGTAGGCGCAACCAGGGGTACTTACACGGATGGGACGGCCCGCCAGAGGGGCAGTTGAGGAGGAGACGACGAGGATGCGGGATGAACCCGGCCTCGGCCGAGGCGGAGAAGGAATAGTATGTCTGAGACCCTGCCGGGGGGTCTCGGACGAGGCGTAGAATGAGCAGTTGGGCTCTCCTGCGGTTTCCGAGACTACAGGGACATGGACTTGACCTTCCATGTTGCTTTGTCCTTGGCATGGGGGTTAGGTAGCATGTTGATGAGCACACGATGGCGAGGTAACCCCCTATGCGCCGGTCCCCCGTCCCGTCGGTCGTTTCTGCCAGACTTGTACTCGAAGTCTGGCCGACGTTTTATGGGAGTAGTTAGGCGATTAATCTGGACATGACGTTTCGTCGAGGAGTTTGGTCGGGACGGAGGTTACGAGTATGTTTGCCGAGCCCGGCCTCGAGCGAAACGGAGAATTGGCATCCCATCCGAGGCCTTTCGGGCGAGGCCCGGCAAGAAGAGGGCCTCGGCGGGGCGCTTTTGGCCTTTGTATGAGGCCTCGGCAAGAAGGCCTCGAGCGAATCGGAGAATTCTGCAGAGACCTGGCGGTAGTCTTTGGCTTTGATTTTTGCAAGGTTTAAGCAACATTTTTTGTTCTTGCTTAGAGTACCCCTTCTTGTGGTATTCGACAGTAGTCCCCGAGCCTCGGGAGGAGTGTGGGCACTCTCCCAAGGTTTTGACGAGACTTGGTTCACAACATGACTCTGTCGGGATCGTGTTTTGTACTTGGTGGTTCGGTGGGTGGTGTGAGTGCACTGGCCGGGCACGGTGAAGTGTAACCGAGGCCCCCGGAGAAGTGGGTTTACTCCTCCAGGGCCTTTTTCCCATTTGAGCAAGGAGTTTTATCGTGCTTGCTGGGCCCATGAATGCGAGTTCGGGTCGCTAGGTCTCGGCAAACTTGCAGGAAGAGCCCCCTAGCCTCTGCACAGAGCGAGAGGGCCGTCAGGTGCTCTCCTGGCTTTTTATACACCTCTCGCGCGTGAGGGTTTGTTTGCTGAGACCCCCTCGGGTGCGAGCCTAGGTCGCGGGGCCTCAGCATATCTGCAGGAAGAGCTCCCTAGCCTCTGCCTAGAGCAAGAGTGCCGTCAGGAGTACCCTTGGCTTTTTGTACGACCCTCGCGCAACCTTCTCGTTCGGAAGGAGGGGTTTGCTTGC